TATATTGTTATTCATTGTTTTAGGAAAGAAAATGCTTATTTTACTGCATAAAATAATAAAAATCTAAAAAAAATACAAGTACCAATACGCAGCAGAAACCGCTTTCTGCAACTCAGATAGTTAGCCAAACATTGGAGCTGCTGAAAGATTCGAATTATCCATGCCTGAGGGCTTGCTCAGTGATAGGTTTGTAGCTTAAACATATTCGCTGGAACGTTCAAGACAATTTACTACACAACAAAAGCAAGACACGTGCAGCCTCAGGAGTAGGACTGGGTTTAAAAACATCAATTTCCAGATTGCTTTTATATTGAATAAAGCGACATCGATTCATTAAATCCTGACATCAATTTTTAAATATAAATGTATTTTGCCAGAAACACCAGAATCTCAGCTCAAAGCTCACAAAACTATTTCAACAACCGCCAAACAGCTAAAAGAGCAAAAGATTAAAGAGCAGGTAAACGAATTCACAGTGAATTTCAACTTTTACATTTTATGCCAAATTACAAAACGCTTAGCTGTGTCTCTAACAAAACCTCTGTAACGATGCTCTGCTTCACTTCACTGGAGGTTATCTACTATAAAAATCCAGCCCAGGAAAATCTCCTTCATATTTTTCTGTGTTTTATCTTCACTTTTTCTGACATAAATGTGATGCTTGCACCTCTGGCCTCTGGTGAAGTCTCACAAGACTGAGATGCTCTAGCGTGACCTTAAAAGGCGGTTCATGCTCAGAAACCCTCCAATGTCGCTGAATTGCAACAATTCTGCAAAGACAAGTGGGCCAAAATTCCTCCACAGAGCTGTGAAAGACTCGTGGCCAGTTATCGTAAGTGCCATGTGTGAACGCACTCGCAGGAAGCAGCTCACCAATTTCATGAAAGAAACAGTTTATAATGACGGCAATAAATGCAGCTACGCTCTGCTCAGGTACGTAACAGGCCTTTCTTTTCCTTCAGGATGCTTGTGCAGCTTTATTTGAGGATCTCATACTGGAAGTCCAGGCTGGTGAGAGTTTCACTGCCCTTACTGGAAATGAGGAATCCGTGTCCAGCAGCTTCATTCTGGTCATAGATGGCCGGACGCTGGGTTGGGCCTTGGAGGACGAATTGAGGAGCAACTTCCTGGAGCTGAGCCGGCGATGCAAGGCAGTGATCTGCTGCCGCTCCACTCCACTGCAGAAAAGCCAAGTGGTCCAGCTGATCCGGGACCATCTCGGTGTCATGACCCTGGCTGTGGGTAAGAACTCCGCCAACAGAAAAGCAGCTTGTTTATTATTCCATAAAGACATTTCATAACCCTTGTTAAATGTTTGAAATACAGATGATCTTTTCCATTGTCATTGCATGAGTACTGTCAGCTTTATGTATCAAATCACTGCTTGAACTAGTGGAAAACAATGCTGCTATTTCAGGTGATGGAGCCAATGATGTAAGCATGATTCAGGTGGCTGATGTGGGCATTGGGATATCTGGACAGGAGGGAATGCAGGTATAACAAAGAAAACAATAACAATGATACTAGTAATAACAAAAATACTGTCAAACTGAGGTCTTTACAGAATACTATGAAGCTGCTCTTTGTTAGTACAGGTTTAATTCAGCCTCCCATCCAACACTATGACAGAGAACTCTTTGAGAGCTGTAGCTTTATATTAGAATCAGTGTGATGTTGCATTAGCCCGTATCATCTGGTTTCACTCAGCAGTAAATGAGGTTAACGCTCGCTTTATTTCTTCTTCTTCTTTCATTATTTTGCTCTGTGGTCATTTTTTGTTGTTTTAAATCTTTCTCCAGGCTGTGATGTCCAGTGACTTTGCTATTTCACGGTTTAAACACCTCAGCAAGCTGCTGCTGGTTCATGGCCACTGGTGTTACTCTCGTCTTGCAAACATGATACAATACTTCATCTATAAGAATGTGGTAAGAGTCTTTGACA